GGGCTGTAAATTGTTGGAGCAGCTAAGAGATATCAATTAGCATAGAACATTGGGTTTTAAACAATAAACTTGAAAAGAATGAATGTTTCCAACGAGGAATTGTTCATAAACTCTCTGCTTCACAATGGTCTGCTTGAAATTATCTCTAGTTTGCCAAGTCTCCTTCCTTCCCTCAGTGAACTATCTGGTTGGTTCAATGCGGCCCCTCGTCTACTGATTGATAGGCACATTATATTATAGGATATAGATTTTAAGGTAGTTTCAGATTGTAAGCATGCTTTACTTTTTCCCTTTATTACAATTTATGTGGTCGATCCAGGATCTATACCCGGTGTATCGTTTGAGCAGATGAAATTGCAGATCAAACTGGGAGTTCCTCGGCCTCTCCAACAGTCTTTAGATCTTGAGAAGGTCAAGTCAGTCTTTCCTTAGTAAGTACAAGATACAAGAATACTTGGTTTGTAGTAATAGCTTCTCCATTGATCCTTTCAAGAATATTACTTTGGAAATTTAAACAATAAAATTAAGTAGTAATAAAGAAAGTGACTGGATTTTTTAATTCCCAGGAACTAGTGAAGGCAGGAAAAGTAATGAAAGACTGTTTTACGAGTGACTGTCTATTTCTAATTTCACATTTTTATGGGTTGGTAACTTTAGACGAGCAAATCTGGAACTTATCACTTGTACTTTTGTTCTTTTCTTTCTGATTTTTTCTAAAACTTCTTTTTTGTGGTTTATAGTGGAAGAATCTTGATTATTGAGGTCGTAGATGGTGGACTGATATGCTCCAGCGGTGTCCAAGTGGAAGACATGGGAGATAAAAATGATGATTGTTACATAGTGAATGCTGCTATTTATGTTGGTTACTGACCTTTTTCCTATAATCTTCAAGGTCCATTCTCTTTTACCTTACTGCAAGAAAGAGAGTGACATTAAGTGCTTCCTATTTCCAGAATGTTTGATCTTTCTTCAAAGATACGAGTTTAGATATAGTGTGAATTCTTTTCAAAAGCTTTTAGTGATGATCATTTCTTCCAAAAAATAGTTTATAGTGAGGATCGAGTTGACTATACTACTATCATATAACCATAAACTGTGGAGTGAAAATCTGAATTCTGTATCTTAGTTGCCAGCGTAGTTTCATTCAGAATGCAGTTTCTAATTATGTACTCCCTGATTTTGTACTCTTTTTTCTGTTTTATCTTCAGCTGGTCCTCGTGAATGTGAATTATCTCTTCGGTTTGGTAACAGTTTTTTGCAGTTGATAGTTTGTATGGACTACACTAGCGATAGGAAGTGTAGTCCATACAAGAAAGTATCTCTCAACCAACCACAAGAATACTTTCTTGTATGGTCTACACCAGCGATAGGAAGGTATGGAGGCCGAGGATTAACGTGGTGGGTTGACAGGTAGTTGTGACTTTCTCCTAGGTTTACCAGTAGTACTAGTAGTATTCTTGTGGTTGGTTGAGGGATACTTTCTTTTAGATTGTTAGTGTATCTGGTACTTAGCTACCACGTCCATTGCTGTTTTTTGAAAATCGCTACGGGAAATTGTTGCTCCTCGACTGTTACTATTTGATACCACTTTTTCTTCCCTTTTTCCTTATTGTCTTTTGTCTCCCTCTTCCCCCTCTTTCTTTCTTCCCTCTCTTTCTTCTTCTTCATCCCTTTCTTCCTTGCCACCTTTTCTTGAGTCGAGGGTATATCGGAAGCAGCCTCTCTACCTCTCCAGGTAGGGGTAAGGTCTGCGTACACTACACAATATCCTCCCCAGATCCCACCTATGGGATTATACTGGGTTTGTTGTTGTTGTTGTAGTTTGTATGGACTACTGTCGATCTCGGTGTTATTCTTTAGTCTATTATGAAGCTTGCTAATCATTTCGGCTGAAGTAGTCACTTCATAGGACTCATTCTATCTCTATACCTCTCTGTAATTGATTTCTCTGTCCTCAAATGGGGAAATCATAATTGTGAGCAACGCCAACTTTGTTTTGGCCTTTTGGTTATGTACTCCAATATTGACTTAATACAATTCCTCAGTACATCCATTTTGAAACCAAATCCCTATCACACGCTTTCTGACCACGAAAATTATCTTACACACTCAACCTTTTCAGAGTGTGTCTAATACACAACTCCTTGTCTACATGGCTCGCGCGTGTTTTACAAACAAAATGAGGCAAATAGTAAAAAATCGTATATATGATATTTTATTTAAACGGTTCGGATTTAGTAAAATTTATTCAACGATTACAATTTATTTTCTTTTTTCCCTTTTTTTAGTTTCTTCTTTTTTTATTTTTCTGTACTAACCCACCACCTCAGACCCACCTAGACATCTCCACCACCCACCATTGTTGCTCCACAACTTCTCCACCATCCTAAAATCAACCAACACTCACCTGTCGAAAATTCACCATACCTTCTCCATTGAAGCACCTTTTTCTCTCCTCTTCCTTTTTTCCCTTTCACCTGTCGGGGGCACCCATGAAGGAGCCCTTATCTTCGTATAAGTTCGTGTTGTTTGTCGCCTATTTTTTTGCTATTAAGTAGTATATGACCCACTTACCAGTATATAGCGTTAAAATATCATGGTATAGCCAGTTTTCACACTGGTCAATGAAAAATAGCCAGCGTTTATCAAGTCAATGAAAAATAGCCACTATTTTGCTGCAACAGGGACCGGTCCAGTATAATATACGGGAGTTCTGGTGCATTTGTGTACGAACTCCAGCATATTATGCTGGACCAGTATACTTTGCTAACTCCTGTAAAATTTGCGGGAGACTGGAGCACCAGTGCTCCAAACTCCAGTATATTATACTGGACAATTATACTTGCTGGAACTCCCGTAAAATTTGCGGGAGTTCCAGCATAGTTATCCTGGAACTCCCGTAAAATTTACGGGAGTTCAAGCATACTTATGCTGGAACTCCCGTAAAATTTGCGGGCGTATTTTTCGGATTTTGAACAGTTTCGCTCAGATTTAAAGTGGCTAAATTTCGATGACTTTTGAAACTTGGCTATTTTTCAACGACCAGTGGTAAATCTGACTATTTTTGAATTTCTCCCGTATACAGCATTGCAGAGGGTTGTAAGTTTGCTTAAGAAGGCCTGATATTCTCCTCATTGTTTTTGACGTTTATAGAGTTTTTGCAAAAGATTCTAATATTTAATGATGGTATTGTAATTTTGTATCTCGAAAATAGTTGGAAATCAGAAGCTAGGAGCAACTGATTGGGGCTTTTAGTTTTTTGTTTGAATTAGACGACAGAGGTCTGGTGTTTTGGGTTGTCGGCGAGAGGAGATGATTCGCCAGAAGAGAAAGAGATGCAACGGAGAAGATGGTAAAGGGTATAATTGTAATTTTACATATTTTTATTTTTTAAAAGAATAATGACACGTGTCACGATCTTATTGGTGTGTGACTTTACGCATATTTTGAAAAATTGGTCAAGAAAAAAAGGTGTGCATTAGACACACTCTAAAAAGGTTGAGCGTGTAAGATGGTTTTCGTGGTCAGAAAGAGTGTAACAAGGATTTTGTGGGAGAAATTCAAAAATAGCCAGATTTACCACTGGTCATTGAAAAATAGCCAAGTTTCAAAAGTCATCGAAATTTAGCCACTTTAAATCTGAGCGAAATCACTGTTCAAAATCCGGAAAAATACGCCCGCAAATTTTACGGGAGTTCCAGCATAAATATGCTTGAACTCCCGTAAATTTTACGGGAATTCCAGGATAACTATGCTGGAACTCCCGCAAATTTTACGGGAGTTCAAGCATAATTATGCTGGAACTCCCGCAAATTTTACGGGAGTTCCAGCAAGTATAATTGTCCAGTATAATATACTGGAGTTTGGAGCACTGGTGCTCCAGTCTCCCGCAAATTTTACAGGAGTTAGCAAAGTATACCGGTCCAGCATAATATGCTGGAGTTCGTACACAAATGCATCAGAACTCCCGTATATTATACTGGACCGGTCCCTGTTGCAGCAAAATAGTGGCTATTTTTCATTGACTTGATAAACGCTGGCTATTTTTCATTGACCAGTGTGAAAACTGGCTATACCATGATATTTTAACGGATTTTGTCCATAGTTCAGGGATAACTTATGTATTTTGCCTATTGGTAGTGACACTCTTTTTACATTATATGTTGTTGCAAAGGTGAGAAACAGTCACACTAGATAAGGTTTCCCTCGAACTTTATCTGAAAAATCAAACCCTCTGTCCAACTTTAAACTATAGGCATCGTCACCCCCTTGTTTCAATGACCTTTACTTTCATAAATGCAAAGTCTATTTTACGCTCTATAGATTATTTACCTGTTCTTTGCAAATTTTTTAATATCATGATTTTTTCCTGTCCTTGTTTAATCCATGCTAGTGGAGTCACTTATATAGATAGTCAAATGTTATTTAAGGAGTAAAAGGCAAATAAATACTTGATGTACTCTTTTGATTATAAAATTTTAGTTTTTTAACTTTGCAGCAGACATGACCATATGTGAAATTACCTCCTTAAACATACTGCCCCCAGATATTTCAGAAGTCCTCAGGCCCTCCAATCTGAATGATCATTACACCTCCAAACTATTGCATGTCCCTGAATTCAGTAATTTTACAATTGAGTCCTGTTCCCAACAAATATACAGACCAATACCTACAAAAAGCAATAGACTATAGACATGAAAGAAGAAAAATCTTGTCTTTTTTCCTCGCAGAATGATTTTACAATTTTGTCCTGTTCCCAGTGACCCAGCAGTTTTGATGATAATGGTAGGATTCTAATGAGAATGGCAAAATCATTTTGAACGTCTCAAACGTCTGAGATTTGATGTTTAGGATGTCTTCAGACTTTGGAGGATGTATTGCAAGTGTAGACAAGCTTATGATGAGTGAGTGAGGGAGGGAGTGGCGTTTTGGGCAAACTGCATTTTCTATGTTATTGAATCAATTTTTTTGTGTTGGCAACTTCATCCTTGCATTTTCTTCTCTAACTTCGGCATGCATTATTTTTGGGTTTTCAAGGATGTTAGTAATTATATCTTATGTTTGTTTCTATTAATTATAGCATGTGGCAAAGATTCAAGCATTAGAAGAAAATGAAATAAATTCTAACAACTCCTTCAAACCCAAACAATTTTCATAATCACGATACTGTAAGCTTGGGCCCTTTGAAAATCGATTGAGTAGTATGTTATTACCTAATAAGTTCTGTCTATTTGATAATTTGAACCACCTGCAGAAAGTTCTACAAGACCAACCACCCTCAGATGCTGTTTAACGCTTGACCATGCTGATAGCTGCTAAAAGTTTCTGCTTGAGGAAATATAGACTACGCTGTATTAACCACTAAGCGCAAGACACTGTTGCGTGAGTCAAGTGCATTTATTCATTTTCAAAGACCAAAATTAAGAATCAAGAAGTGGATCCAATCCTATTTGCATCTGTCAACCTAAAAGTCTAGTCACCATAAATTGACTCCAGTTTGCCCCTATAAGCCACGTAAAGCATGCCGATTTAGGGGTGACAATCGGACGGGTAGAGTCGGATACAAGCGGGTAAAAAATAGATAATGGAAAAATGGATAAATATCCGACACTAAGAATCCCTTTTAAAGACTCTATGACACAAAATGCTCCCTTTCTAAAAAAATGATAGAATATGTCCCCTTTGAAGATTTTATTACTTGGATGCCCCTCTCTCCCTATGCCCAAGCTCCACCAAAGATTTTATTTCTTGGGCTGAATGGTATTGATAGTGAGGTGACGCATGCGCCGGGCCCAGTTTGGGCTAAGTGTTATTAATTGTTGACTTAGATCCGATTGGCACTTGAGTTAGGATCCACCCCTCTAGAGTCAGGTATTAACATGTGGGTGCAGGGACACGAGCTATGCTTGGTGAGGGACTTATATTAGGCACTCATACAGTGCTCCGTGTGTGTGAGAGAGATGTTGGAGGGGTACTTGTGCCAAGACACTATACATGTGCTAAGATTTTGGTATACTTGATGTTTTAACTGCAATATCATTGATTTTGGCATGTAAACTTATCGTGAAACCATAGGGTCGTATCTTTCTCGTGCTAACTGGTAATTTATATATCTCTATCTGATATTTAATCGTAGTTTTATTTGGTAAACTATGTTTAGGTTATTTCTGTGGAAAAAATTTATGCCTTGACTGGTACAGTTGAGAAGCATGATTATTTTTCTTCTTCTTTTTTTGATAAAGTTGAACCAGATATTACTTGAACTTACTTTCTACTGTTATCATACTGTTATTGCTGTTATTGGCTATTGAAAATAAATTTTGGACCATGCAAAGCTCGTTACTGCTTTCAGCTCGAGGTTACGCTTGTCACTTATTGAATACATTGGGTTGATTGTACTCATGCTACACTCTGCACTTTATGTGCAGATTCAGGTGCTTTCGAGGGACGTGATTGCTAGAGATGCATTTGTACCTGTTGGAGATTTTGAAGCATCTGCTGTTCCGGTTGCAGACGTTTAAATCCCTTTTTTCTTAGTTAATGTACTACTATTTAATCATTCAGACAGTATTGTATTTTGGTTCAGTTCTGTATCTAAATTCTGTTGAGCTCATTTACTCGATGACACCGAATTGTGAGATGGTTTTCAGTTGTATTATTGCTATTGACTTCAGTTATCTATGTTATGCCATTGTTGGCTATTTAATAATGTTATTTAAGTTTATTTTTGCTTATTGGTTGTTGGCTTGCCTAGCAAGCGGTGTTAGACGCCATCACAGCACCTTCACGGCTCCAGTGAAACTCTAGACTGCCTATTAACCTAAAACCCTAATCGTCGACCACCACACCCTTCTGTCGAGGGTTATGTTCTAGGTGAGCTGAAGTAGTGTCATGTCCTGCCTAATCACCTTACCCCGTTACTTCTTAAGCCTCCCTCTACCCCTCCCCTTACCTGCGTGCGGTCAACCTCTCTCACCTCCTAATCGGGGCACTACAACCTCTCCTATTCACATCTCCAAACTATCTCATCCTCGATTCCCGCACATCCATCTCAACATCCTCATTTTGCTACTTTCAACTTCTAGACATGAGATTTCTTGATTGGCCAACACTCAGCTGCATACAACATAGCCGGTCTAACTTCCGCTTTATAGAACTTACCCTTATGTCTAGGTGGCACATTCTTGTCACACAAAATACTATAAGCGAGCCTCCATTTTATCCATCCCACTTCAATACGATGTGCGACTTCTTTGCCGATGTCCGTGTTATCCTGTATCACGGACCCAAGATATTTAAAACTATCTCTCTTAGGGATGACTTGTGTATCCATCTTCACGTCCACTTCTGCTTCATGAGCCCCAACAATAAACTTCCACTCCAAGTATTTTGTCTTCGCCCTGCTCAACTTGAAACGAAGGGGAGCCTTGGCGTAACTGGTAAAGCTGCTGCCATGTGACCAGGACGTCACGGATTCGAGCCGTAGAAACAACCTCTTACAGAAATGTAAGGTAAGGATGCGTACGATTGACCCTTGTGGTCCGACCTTTCCCTGGACCCCGCACATAGCGGGAGCTTAGTGTACCGGGCTGCACTTTCCTGCTCAACTTGAAACCTTTAGATTCTAGGGTCTCTCTCCACACCTCTAGCCTAGTATTAACCCCACAACGTGTCTCGTCAATCAACACTATGTCATCTGCAAATAACAAACACCATTGCACCTCTCCTTGAATGTAACACGTCAACACATCCATCGTCAGGGCAAATAAAAATGGGTTAAGGGCCGATCCTTGATGCAACCCCATTGCCATAGCAAGTAATCCAAGTCTCCTTCCACAGTCCTCGCCCGAGTCTTAGCTTCATTGTACATGTCCTTAATCATCCTAATGTACGCTATCGGAACACGACTAATCTCCAAACATCTCTATAAAACCTCTCTAGGGACTTCATCGTAGGCTTCTTCTAAGTCAATAAACACCATATGCAGATCCTTCTTCCTCTCCCTGTACTACTCATCAACCTCCTTACCATGTGAATGGCTTATGTAGTTGACAGTCCTGGCATGAAACCGAATTGGTTCTCAGTAATAGACACACTCATCCTCACCCTCCTCTTCACCACCCTCTACCAAAATTTCATAGTGTGACTCAGTAGCTTGATACCCCTATAGTTATTGTAATTCTGAATATCACCCTTGTTATTGTATAGCGCGACCATCAAACTCCGCCTACACTCTTCGAGCATCTTCTTCGTCCTAAAATAATATTAAACAAATCAATAAGCCACTCCAAGCCTGCCCTGCCTGCGTTCGTCCAAAATTCCACTCAAATCTCGTGTGGTCCGGTTGCCCTACCCCTACTCATCTTCTGCATAACCTCCTCAACCTGTTCAACCTTAATACGTCTACAAAACCTAAAATCACGGTGGCTTTCTGAGCTTTCCAACTCCCCAAGCTCAATGATCCTATCCTCATCCTCGTTCAAGAGTTTATGAAAGTAAGTCTGCCACCTACACCTAATACACGCCTCCTTTACCAAGACCTTACCTTCCTCGTCTTTGATGCACCTCACTTGGTACAGGTTCCGAGCCTTTCTCTCTCTAGCCTTGGCTAACCAGAACAATTTCTTGTCATAACCTCTTCCCCCCCCCCCCCCAGCTCCTCATGCAAGCGTTCAAATGCTGCATTCTTGGCAGTCGTGACCGCTAACTTCGCCTCTTTCTTGGCCTTCTTATTAAACTCTCTATTCGTTCTCCTTTCCTCCTCATCGACGCTCTCAATTAGTTTCACATGCCCCTCTTTCTTGGCTTTCACTTTTTCTTGGACCTCTTTATCCAACACCAGTCCCCTTTGTGACCCCCGGGTAGCCGTTCGTAACCCCTAATACCTCTCTAGCAGCTTCCCTAATGTAGTCCGCAGTTGTGATCCACATATAACTCGCGTCCCCACTGCTCCTCCAGGCCCCCATAGCCAATAACTTCTCCCATAATACATGAGCATATTATTTTATTTTTTAGATCACCTAAGCTTTTCAGCTGTAAAAGCGTACAATCGAATCCATCTCCGACAACCTTACCCAGCCGCTGCACTCACCCCCGTTCCCTCTTGCAAAAAAGAACTTCATCGATCCGTGTCGTAACCCCAAATATAACAACCCCCCTGTCTCTTTTTCTGTGATGTAGTTTGACAGGTTACAAAGTTTAAGAAATAAAAGTAGACTTTTAAAATTTGTGGTCTAAAATAAGTCAAAGTTTTGTGTGACTATAAATTACTAGCCGTTGAACCGGTCTGGTCCGGTTGACCGATTCCTAACTGACATGACCTTACCAGGTTGTATCAGTCCGGTTAACCGGTATAAAAAAATCTACATGGCACAGGCCGCCGGCAGAGGCCGGTTCCCATCCCATCCTAGCCCTGCCCGGCCCCTATACTACAGGGCCGGGCTGGGCTGGTCTAAAACCGGTCAGGGCCGGTGAACCAGGCCAACCCGGCCCGTTTGACACCTTTAAATCTATATATGTATATATCTAAACTACTATATTAGGAAGAAACTACTTCCCATTTTGAATGGGTAGTTTTTTATTTTCGAAATTTATAGATATTTAATTCAAAAATAATTACCAATAACTAATATTTAACTAAATAACTAATTATGCCATGTGACTTTTTTCTAGGTTGCCACTTGGCTTAATGTGGTGCATTTGGTTTTGAATAATATACAGATCTTATTAAAGAAAAATAAAAAAAAATTAAAGTTAAATTATTTTTAAATATAAAAAAGATAATAGGATCCTTTTTCGTGTTACTTTTTTTTTTTTTTTTCCAAAATCGTTTGTCTTACTTTAAAAACATGAAAATCAACATCCTAGTAGCTACCTACAACACTACGGCAACCCACAAACAACCATAGCTCACTCCCACTTTTGGTGGCGGAAGCTCCTCCACAAACACAACAATAAGGTGGACTTTTTAAATCCCATTTCGTATATTCCAATCTTTAAGGCATAATAATCCATTTGAATTGCTTAATCCATGGCCACCACCAGCAGCAGCTCCAGTAGCAACAGCAAGAAGGAAAATCAAGTTCTTATATTGGGTCGGTACGAAATTGGGAAATTACTAGGCCATGGTACATTTGCAAAAGTGTACCTTGCTAGGAACATCAAAACCAACGAGTGCGTAGCCATAAAGGTGATTGATAAAGAAAAAATCCTCAAAGTAGGACTAATTGGCCACATAAAACGCGAGATCTCGATCCTGAGAAGAGTTAGGCATCCAAACATTGTTCAATTATACGAAGTTATGGCAACCAAAGCCAAAATCTATTTCGTGATGGAGTATGTGAAAGGTGGAGAGTTATTCAATAAGGTTGCTAAAGGCAGGCTTAAAGAAGAAGTTGCTCGAAAATATTTCCAGCAATTAATTTCAGCAGTGGCGTTTTGTCACGCCCGTGGGGTGTACCATAGAGACCTAAAGCCAGAGAATATATTATTAGATGAAGATGGGAATGTTAAAGTGTCTGATTTCGGTCTAAGTGCTATTTCTGAACAGATAAAGCAAGACGGCTTGTTCCACACTTTCTGTGGTACCCCTGCTTATGTTGCACCTGAGGTTTTGGGTAGGAAAGGGTATGATGGAGCTAAAGTTGATATTTGGTCATGTGGGGTCATACTTTTTGTGTTAATGGCAGGCTACTTACCATTTCATGACCAGAATGTTATGGCTATGTATAAGAAGATTTACAAAGGTGAATTTAGATGTCCTAGATGGTTTTCCTCTGAATTGGCTCGTTTCTTAACTCGACTTCTTGATACAAATCCTGAAAGGCGGATCACAATTCCGGAGATAATGAACAATAGGTGGTTCAAAAAGGGGTTTAAACATGTGAAATTTTATATAGAGGATGACAAGTTATGTAGCATAAATGATGATGTGGATGATAAAGAAGGAGTTGATTCTTCGTCTGAGCTGTCAGAGTCAGAGTCTGAAATGGAGATAAGAAGGAAGCCGCCTAGTTTGCCTAGGCCTGCTAGTTTGAATGCATTTGATATCATTTCATTTTCGCGTAGTTTTGACTTGTCTGGTTTGTTTGAGGATGGAGAGGATGGAGGGAGGTTTATATCGGGGGCTCCGGTGCCTAAGATCATAAGTAAATTAGAGGAAATTGCTAAAGTTGTGAGCTTTGCAGTGAGGAAGAAGGATTGTAGAGTGAGTTTGGAGGGGTCTAAGGAGGGTGCAAAGGGACCTTTGACTATTGCAGCTGAGATATTCGAGTTGACACCATCTTTGAGAGTTGTTGAGGTGAAGAAGAAAGCAGGAGATAGAGTGGAGTACGAGGAGTTTTACCATAAGGAATTGAAGCCTGGGTTACAAAATCTGACGCTTGAAGTTGATGGTCCTGTCGATTCATCGCATTTGCCTTCAGATACTGAGTAGAAAGAAAAAGAAAGGAAAAAGGGTATGCTCCTTTTTTCTTTCTTTCAACATATGTTTGGTTCTTTTGTTTTAGCATTCTTTCCATGCTACACTTTTGCTTCTGTTAATGTTGGTCATGTTCCAATGTTAGCAATCTTGTGCTTTCTATTCTTGTTGTTGAATGCTATTAAGTGATCTAAAAATTGAATATAATTTTGTCCCACAGTTGGCTTCTTCTGCAAGTTTGAGTTTCATTTACTAATATCTTGTTATGCTGCATCCTTACTGTAGACTTCGGCATGAGAATCATTGTCTCAAATTTACTCTGATAGGCAAGTTACTTTGAATTTTCTGTTACTAATGTAATAGGGTGCTGGTGCTCATCCTAACTATAGAATTCTGTTAGTAAACCCTATGGTCAAGTCCGAGACTGTTCTATTAGTAACTTGTGAAGTTGCTGTATTGCAAATATTTTTTCAATCTTATATATGAGTACAACTTTATGGTGACAATAAGCTGGATGGCACCACAAATAATTCAAAAAAATAAAAATATCTCTAAATTATGAGAAATTTTGTGGAATACTTACGTATAGCTTGTAAAGCGGATTTCTTTTTTATTTTCAACTTGTAAACAAGTAAAGAATTGATTACCTAGTTAAGGTATGCTATTTTCTTCAAATTTACTCAAGTTTTGGTTATGATTTCGGGAATCAATTTGTATTTCGTCTCGAATTTTTCTGTCCGTTTTGGTCAAAGTACCCAAAATTGTTTGACCAGATCCCGTATACCCACACCCATACTAGTGTCGTGTCGACACGAGTGCGGCACCTAAACTGACATGTCGGAGAAACTTAGATGAAAACTGGGATTTAGGAAGAGTCTCACTTAGTTGCTGCAGATCGAGGATGTTCAACTTCCTAGCTATATTTTGGGAGAAAGAAACCTTGTTGGATCATTGTTGTTTTTGAGCATCAATTTTGTTTAAGCCAGGCAACTAAAAGCCAGCTTAGCCTTGTGTATGTTTTGTTAGTCAAAATGCCTTGGGAACTACTAAGGGAATAGCATTTGAATGCCCTAAATCTTCTTTTCCCCACGCTGAAGCAGTGAGTTGAGGAGTATTCTTTTATTAGAGCTACCAATCAAAATATGAACTTGTTCGATAAAGGATTCTGACAAAATCAGCCTTCCAGATGCTATGCGCACAACTAGGCTTTGTTCATGTGTCACGACCCAAGTCCCAACAGGTAGGGGTGGGCATATATCGGGTAAAACCGATAACCCGAACCGTTAATTATTTATTGGGTTATCGGCATTGGGCTATTGGGTTAACGGTTTAGTAATGGGTTAAAAAATTTTTTTTATCGGGTTATCGGTTCGGGCTCGATTTGGCAATTCTGTTATTGGGTAAAACCGATAACCCAATAAGGATTAACTAATTTACTAGTTTATCCTTAAGTATATACATACTAGGGTTTCATAATTCATACATCATAGTTCACTCTTTGATTTCCCTATTCTTTCTCAGTTTCTCCACCTCACGCCTTCACCAGTCAGCCCGTTAAGACTCAGGCCGGCGTCAGTCGCATCACGCCCTCACCAGTCAGCCCGTCAAGACTCAGGCCGGTGTCAGTTGCATTTCTCAGCTTCTTTCTTTTACTCTTCAGTCACATCTTCACTTCATTTCTCAGATCCATCATATTCTTCAGTCGCATCTTCTTCACTCTTCAGTCGCATTTCTCAGCCGCATTCTTCAGCTTCATCTTGATTCTTCGTGTAAGTTTTTAGTTGCTTCATCTTCATCTTTTTCTTAGTTTGTTTGAAAGCATTCTGGCTCTGGATTTTTCTTAGTTTGTTTGAAAGCCGAAGTGAGATTTTTGTTTATATTTTTTGGGTTGAAGAATGAAAGATAGAAACTTTGGTTAATGTTTTTTTTATTGGATGTTGCAGTAAATTTAAATTCTTGTGAAATAGAACAGTTCTGAAAAGAGTTTTAGCAAAACAGTTCTTAGAATCTTATAAAACTGTTTTAGCAAAACAGTTTTATACCGAAACTATTTTATACATTGCGAAACTGTTTTAGTTGTTTTATCTTATCGGGTAAACAGATAACCGAACCGATAATGATCGATAACCGATTAACCGATAACCGATAACCAATATCTTATCGGTTTGGTTATTGGGTTATGATATTTGTAAACCGATAACCGATAGGCAAAACCGATAATATTCATAACCGAACTGAACCGACCGATGCCCACCCCTACCAACAGGATCGTGATGGCGCTTAACCCAACACGATAGGGAAGCCAACCAATATAATCATAGTTCAAATTGAAGTCATCAAATACATAGTAAAATAAGAACGCAAAGATTAATACAAGCTATCCCAAGAACTAGTAGTACAAGTCATGAGCGACTAATATTAGGATTACAACGTCGTCCTAAACTACCATGAACAAAATGGTTGATTACAACTGGAACGCCAGTACATCTTCAATTCTAGCCTTCGACTTCCACAACAACTCAACTCCAAAATCTGCACATAGGGCGCAGACGTTTAGTATTAGTACAACCGACCCTATGTATTCAATAAGTATCAAGACTAACCTCAACGAAGTAGTGGCGAAGTTTAGTTAAAAGATACTCACGTTATATTATCCGTGTAGCTCATAAACCAATACAATAACAGAAAAATAGCCAAGAGACAACCAAGGAACGTCTGATATCAATGATAAGGTGCTCGATCAAAGAAGAAGGTAATAAGCATGCTTTTTTAAATAACCAGATCAAAACATATACAAATGCACCAAATCAACATATAAAGGAGATTTGTACCAAGTAGCTTTACTCGAATATTTCTACATGAATGTAGAGTGTTTGTGCATGATAGAGACCAAATTTCGCATCAATTCCCAAATAGCAACTATACGAATGATCCTGCATCAGTCTAAGATGTCTATGCATTATGAAGACTCAACATATTCATGAATCCGACACTCTCCTGGTGTGCAACTATCCGCTATTAAGTCCTATGCATATATTAAATGCATGAATGTGCATATATCGATGATATACATGCATGTTTGTACGTGAGTCTAGAGTGTCAATGCATGATATGACGTAAATAATTCACTTAAGTAATTTAAGCTTCCCCCTTTACGCCCAGCTCACAACCAATACCATCATAATTTGACACTCGTCAGTGTCTCACAAACTCTGCGTGTACACCACCAAGAGAGAAACATGGGAGGGCGATCCCAAGGGATGGTGCGTATCCACACGCTGTACGGCAGAAATCTCGTGCCACAACAATACGCTCGACTTAAACCTTGTGTCACAACAATAACCGCACGACATAAATCTCGTTCCACAACAATAATCGCATGGCATAAACCTCGGGCCATAGCAATATCAATCCGCTCATGATGTCCAAATGTACCATAATTAGTGTTTTGGATAGCGTCAGGCGACAAATATCGATGAGGGCCCGTTCACTGAGGCGAGAGGCGAGAAACGAGAAGCGAAGTGCTCGCCTTTTTGATGTGAAGCAACAATATATAAAAAATAAAATTATATATATATACACACACTAAAAATTCAATAGCAATAATATATTAATAAATATACCAATTAAAAAATTTAAAACTCAATAGATAGTCATAGTAGATTCATAAACTAAAACAAACAACATCTATTCTTCTTCAAGATTTTCAAATTCTTGAATTTCAAAAATGTTAGCATTATATTGGCTATCATCTTCTTCATCCTCGGAGTCTTCATCAAATAGGGACCGGCATTGAACTTGTAGCTACTCCGTTTCCCTTGTTATTTGAACTTGAAGAACTCCCTCTAAGACCATAAATATTCTCCTCAACTCCAGCTGCCATAGAAACAGTACCCCAATCGAGATCATCTCCTACATACACTTGTTCATCTTCATGATTTTGGGGAGCTCCAGTTAACCATTCATTTGCCTCGTCAATGTTATGCAACAAAATTGGATCAATGGTATCGCGAGCGTCATAGCGACGCTTCAATGTTTTATTGTATTTTATATACACTAGATCATTGAGACGTGATAGCTCAAGCCTATTCCTTTTCTTTGGAGTGAATCTGCGTATAAGTTGTAGAGAGTAATTAATAGATACTAATAATAATACAATACAGAAGAATATTAATATAAATAAATCTGCTTCTTACATTCTCAAATACGCTCCAATTTCTCACACATCCAGATGCACTACAAGTTAAGCGTAGTACTTTGACGGCAAATTTTTGCAAGTTTGGAGTTTGATGACCAAATTGCATCCACCATTCAACTATAGAAAAATATTTTAAAAGTTAATAAGTATAAATAAATTAAATTAAAGCTATAAGGATATCTATATTAAAGTTAGTTACCTGGTGACCTTATGTCTCTGGCTCTAATAGCCGCCTATAAACCAAATAGGCCATCTCTAAGATTTAAGCATGTAAGAAGTTTAAGATTTAAGAAAAACACTATCTCTTGGAGAATACACCAACATATTTATGACCATTTTTTCATTCTGTGCTGTCCATTTATCCATCATAATGGAACATCCAAACTTATTCCATTTCACTCTATGCTCCTCTACAATCTTGTCTATCTTCTTCACCTCTTTTTAAAGATGAGTTACTCCAACTTCACGATAGCTAGGTGGCTTCATTCCCGGATCATATTGTCTTACGGCCTCAATGAATTTATCAAAAGTTTTGTAGTTAAGACAATTGAAAGGGAGCCACGCATCGTACATCCATGTTGCAAAGGCACTTACGGCGCGATCCCTCAAAATCTTCTTGGCTTCTAAACTTGAACCGGAATCACCTTTTTTCCTTTTCTTGTTGTTTTCCCTAGAAATAAAGATTGAAAGGACCTTTTGTGACCGTACGCATCGTTGATGACCCACTAGAACTATTTGAAGATATCTTTTGATTTTTTTTTTTTTGGGGGGGGGGGGGGAGTGGTGGGGAGGTCTCATTTCATCATCTTCAACAATAAGATTCACCGATGCTTCATAACTCATTTGAGTTCTTGTCACATTTTTCTTCTCAACAAATGTTTTTACTTGCTCCCTAAGATCAGGCGGACAAAGAGGACATTGTACTATATTTTTACATCCACCAATCAAATGTTATTTGTGATGAATTATTCCACCATGGTATGTTTTTCACAAAACACATATTTAATTATGGATCTTGATGAGCCTTGTATAGCATAATTCCAAGCTATATCATTTCTTTATTACCATTATGTGACGCCATTTCAATACTGTTTTATAGGAAAAAATTATCAAGTCAACATGCAATTAATTCTACTCTATAACTGAAAAAAGGAGAAAATTTCAGGTTTGACATGAAGCTCTCTGCCTCTGCCCATGAAGGAATTGAAAAAACAGAGCAAAAAAAAAAAAAGAAAAGAAAAGAAGAGAAGAAGAAAAAGGAAGGAAGAACGAAAGAAAGAAAGAAAAAGCTATATGATAAGCTAGCAAAATGTAATTTGAAACCTGGTGAACATTGGGTCCCTATTCTTTACTATAGCAAATCATGCACCATCTACAGAAGCTGTTAGACTCAAGGATGAGTCTTTTCCAACCAGGGGGAATGATGCAAGATCAAGAAGGTCGAGAATCCAGAAATTCAAGAAGTCCAAGAATCCATTCAAGATTATAATCTCTTTTCTATAAAGATTAGGATTTCTTATTTCTTGTTTCCTAGTAATTTGATTCTTGTTTTAGTAGTATTATATTTATATTTCTAGTCAAACTAGGATTATTAGTTGGTAGTCTATTCCTACTAGAATTCTTTTTCCTATTTTAGTTAGGACAGGTTTTCTTAGCCTTATTCTTATTCTAGATTAATTAGGATCAGTTTTCCTTATCCTTACCAATTTTACTCATTCTAAGACCTATTTAAAGTGCTCAATATGCTAAAAATAAACATGAGTAATTAGTTTCTTTGACTATTAGCTTCAAAAATGTGATTGTCTCTTTTGTTTCCTCTTCTTCGCTTATTCAACGCTTCTTGCAATCTTGTGGGATTGAGGAACGTGTCAGTGAGGTTTCTTTTCATCTTACATTTTTCTAACGTGAGTTTGAAGAAGGCTTTCACTAGTTCTGTGAAAAACTTTAGCGGGTTGCTTTTGTTTTTCTCTCTTCTTTGTGCTTGAGAGGTGCAAAACCTTGAAAGTACATTACTAACAGATATGTAAGCTTGCATTTTCAGTTGCACTAGCAAGTTTCTTTAAGCTTGCATTTTCAGTTGCACTAGGAAGTTTCTTTCAGCAGTTAACCAATGGCAAGTCTTCTGTGATGATCTCCCAAGGTAGAGTAAGCACCTTCTTCTCTTTCGGTTCCTTAGTTATAGTTCTACCATTCTCCCAGTACACTTCTCATTGGTTTTTTATCCTCACTATGTATTATGATAACAGTACGTTAGTATACATATGAATTGTCTTTTGGTTTAAATTCAACTGAAAGGATGTGCTATTTAATTTGAGTAAACAATTCTTATTTTGGAAATCAAGAGAATATGACGCAATGCAAGGTCCCAGATGTGAGTACTGAACTTTGTCACTTCCTGTGTTCATTTCTGGTAGTCTTTTGCTATGTTGTTATGGTCTAACGGTCTTTTAGTTTAAGCTTCACAATGTGCGGTTGTAAGAACTAGTGGACTCCTTTCTGATTCTTTACCTTTTGATGTTTCTTCCATGGTGTCCCTTTTTGCTTTGTTCATCAACCTTTATGATATGTAATGATGAGAAACAGTGTTTCCTTGTCATGATGGGGCATTATTTTGATGATGCATTGGCTAATGTGACGGGATTTGTTTTAACAAGCTCCTTCATCTCTTTAGATGCATTCATCCATGCAGTATTATGTGCAGTCTGCCAGAGCTATATTAAGCAGATTATTTGTTTAGCATTGGTGTGGCATTTTGCATATATTAAGTTCTTGTGCACAGCTCACATCTGGTCTTTATCCAGCACCATGAATAATTGATTCTTTGATTTTTATTTCTATTGGGCTCTCTATTGTCTTGCTAATCACTTGACCTAATCTAGTGGGCAGTATCCTCGCTTGTTTGAAGCCATACAAGGCTTTCTTCAATCGGCAATGGAAGTCTGATAGGGCTTTAAGAGATAGGGACGTAAGGGCAGCGGTAAGAAAAAGTCACTCAGTGAATCGGTGGATGCATTGACATTCCCCTTTTTTTCATTCTAGTTATTGTCATGGGAAGGAATGAAGATGATTAGAGATCCAATCAAATTTTGGTGATGAATTCCTCTCCCTCTCTTTTCTCTTGAGTTGTGGTGGGCATTTGCCAGTTAGGCATGAATGATTTGTTTTTATTCTGGGACACCAAGCAGAACTAGACTGGCATTCATCCTCTCATTTTCAGAAAATGTTGTTAAATATTGATTTTATGTTTTTTTGTGCCTTGCAGGTTGTTAGTTGTGAACCTTTAACAACTGGCCAGGGAGAAGTTCTAAATTCCAAAAAATAACCATATGGCAACCTGGATCCAACGAGGGCTAAGCAAAGCCAACAAGCCGTATGCCTCTTGCACTTCATCACCATTGATGTTCTGGGATCAAGATTTACCAGGTTCAACTCTGGCCACTGAGATTCTGGTTCCTTGTCTAATCGTATGTAGTCCATGGACTGGTAGGTGTCACATAAGCTAGTTTTGTTCTCTCTTCATGATCTAGTTACTTGATTTTTTTACTTGTAGACGAGGAAAGAAATAAAAGCGAAAAATGAATAGTTCTCAAAATAATGTTATTGGTTACGAAAGCCATTCTCAGTAATCCGACGGCAGTCTGAGTAAATAGTAATTGTGAGGTGATTTACTACTTTTTGCTGAAACTGTGTCTTCTAACCTAGTTTCTCATGCATGTCAGATTAATAGAGCCAATTTGTGGTTTATTTTTCCAGATGGGATAATGGGGCTGGTGATATCTGCTTCCATAAATGCCAATACTAAGACTTGTTTGCGTATTAGTTTAAGAAAAATAGATATTGTTGTCCTGTTGATGTTTCTTTCTGAAGTTGGTTGTTACATGAAAAACAAAAGCCAGATACATGTACTATTTTTGCGAAGACAGAAGCAGGTGTGCTTCCAGTAATCACGTATTTGCCAAATGGTGGAACTATGACTTTGATTGTGACTTGTGAGTAGGAGTGGCAAACGGGCGGGTCGGATATGGTTCGGGTAAAAACGGGTAAATAACGGATAATTTATCCGATCCGAACCATATTTAATACGGATAAAAAACGGGTTAACCGGCGGACAATATGGGTAACCATATTATCCATGACTTCTTGCATATGATCACTTTTGGGAAATTCTTAGTGGGCGTTTGGACATAAGAATTGTAAAATTCCAAAATAGGGGGAAATTTTTTTTCAAGTGAAAATGGTATTTAAAATTTAGAGTTGTGTTTGGACATGAATATAATTTTGGGTTGTTTTTAAAGTTTTATGAGTGATTTGAGTGAAAATTTTGAAAAATAGCTTTTTGGAGTTTTTCAAATTTTCGAAAATTTTCAAAATGCATCTTCAAGTGAAAATTGGAAATTTTATGAACAAAGGCTGATTCCGGAAAAAAGTGAAACTTTTTTGGAAAAAGGGAAATTTTTTTTTATGTCCAAACGGGCTTAGTCTCCCTAACTTGAAGAACCCCCAATTTGAGGTTTTACAAATGTAAAAGTCAGACCCTTTGGTTATTCATTTTCTAAATGGATAATATGGTTCTTATTCATACCCGTTTTTAAAAATTCCATTATTCAACCCATTTTTTAGTGTATAATATGGGTGATTAATTATTTTCTTTTAACCATTTTGCCACCCCTATTTTTAGTGTATAATATGGGTGATTAATTATTTTCTTTTAACCATTTTGCCACCCCTACTTGTGAGTAACAATACTGCATTCAATCAAATCAAGGCAAAAGTTAGAGCTTGTTATTTATTCCATCTCCTTTGTTTATGAATTTGGCTATGTCAATTAGTTGTGATTATGTTTATGTTTACCTTGAAAATGGTAATTACAATTAAATTTGATTTTGTGATTCTAAAAATACGTGATTTATTTTAATGCTAGTTGTTAGGTGATAGATGCTAAGTATGAGTCAAGAAAATGAGATAAGAGCTTGGAGACAGTATGTTATGCAAACCGAATGGCCGTGAATCGGGGTCTTGAGCTAGCCTATGCTGGGCCTCGAGGTCGAGCTAAAGTATCAGACTGGGGATGGTCGATGAAGAACTTAACAGTTCTAAGGACCTTGATGATGACTCTTTATGATTAATGATGAGTAATAAATGAAGAACAATCAATAAAACACAATAAATGTAAGCAATAAAATCAAAGGAGCGACAGTAGAATGTGTTTAAGTTGAAAAGCAGAGAATGTTCCTGTTCTTGTATTGAATATTATGTGTCTTACAAAATGATAAGGGTCCCCTTTATATAGGAGGGGGAAGCCCAACATGGTACATGCATAATTATTACAAAGAAACGTAGCTGGTACAACTATTTAATGGTCTGGTACAAACTTGTACTATTCTTGCAGACGTTGTCAGCTTTGACCACATGCCTTGGGAATTTCCCGCTTGTCCAAGATAGCCACCGATTTGCGCTGCCCCGAGATCGAGCATAGGGAACCCTCAGGGTCGAACCTCGAACTGTGCCTCGAGGTTTCTGGAGACAGGCTGTGGAATGTCATAATGATCATAAAATCGGACTCTCCGATTTTCGCCGCATACAGATAGTCCCCGCGTTTCTTAGAGTGAAAATGATAAGAAACGGTCTTGAATTCTTGCCTCTTTGATACTTCCATTATGACGTCAGCTACGCTATATCAAGCGATTGATCTGACCGAAAAGGTGTCTAAAGGTCGCGTCCACACAACCCTTGAAAAGCCTTTGAATTGATTACAACGGTTGACTATCTTTTGGCCTGCCCCAACGTACATGATTGGCCTCTATAAATACTTCTTCCTTCGCCCCTTATTTTCCATTGTGTTATCAAGCCTTCGAAAGAGTTCTTCTTACTTCTCTCTTGCGTTCTTTCTCTGATTACAATTTCTTCTCTCCTCTGAAATCTTTTAACAAGAATGGCGAAGACTTTAACCCTCAGGGGTTAGCCTGGTGGCAATAGACTTGAGCCTTGGGGTTTGCTCCCTTTCAAGGTCTCAAGTTCGAAACCCACTGGGTGCAAACAATTTTTGAGGGCCATCGGACTGGGTAAAACCTGAATTAACCGTGGTGCACTTGCGGAAAACTCCTTGCCGAGGGCCTCTGCACCCCCGGGATTAGCCGGGGCTCATAGAGACTCGGACACACGGTGCAAATCAAAAAAAAAAAAAAGAATGGCGAAGACTTCCACCTCCGTCCCTCAGGAATATATGCCTTCCTCTTCTTCACGCTCGTCTAGGGGCAAAGCAACAGTGCCCCCTCATCTTGAGCAATGCATCCCAGGACCCTTTGAAATGACCTCCGATTTCAAGGTCGACAAGCCTTCATCGAAGCAGGGACGATGTGAACCCATGTCCCAATATATTAGTTTAGTAGCAGACGCCGAGAAGGTGAAGATTGACTGCCGCTGGGGGACGCGGTGCTGGTGGAGATTCCTTCTCGGGAAGAGGACATAACGACATAGAAGGCCGGCTTCCTTAGTGTGTATACCTATCTATTTACTCTTGGCCCGGTGGAGCCATCCTCGCCTTCAATAGAACTCGTGATCCTCGACTTCTACGAACGATATCGAGTGACTCTCGGCCAAATTCATGTGGAGTATTGTTTACATGATCAGATATTTTGCGAACATGATTAAGGGGATGCCCTTCACCCTCGACCATTTGATTAGAATGTACAGTCCCCGACTCTTCCGTGGGCCTGATTAAGCTCCAATGTCAGGCCTCGAAAGCCTTTTTTGCTTGCACTGGCGAGGTTAGGGACAGAGGGTGGATGAGCCGTTTTGTC